GACCAATGATATAACTCTATATTTTGTTTTACATGTCCCTACACTTCATACCAACCTACTGTTTATTAGTTCTTTGACAAAAAATTTGAATTGTTCCGTGACCTTTCTTCCTAGTAATTGTGTTTTGTAGGATCTGGAGTCAAAGAAGATGATTGGGAGTGGACGTAAGGTGAATGGAGTCTACCTTCTGGATGAGATTTCGAGACATCAGGGCCATCATGTTAGCAACGGCAATAGTAGTGGGTCAAAGTCAGTGAACCAGATTATGCTTTGGCACAATCGCTTGGGACATCTTTCTTTTAGTTCTTTGAAATGTCTTTTCCCAAAGTTGTTTGAGTCTGTTCAGTTATCTACTTTGAAGTGTGAGAGTTGTCAATTAGGAAAGCATTGTAGACAGTCTTTTAAACCAAGTAATAAAAGAAGTACTTTTGCTTTTAATATTGTTCACACTGATGTATGGGGGCCATATCATATCCCGACCATGGGAGGATTCCGTTAGTTTCTCTTGTTTGTGGATGATTATACACAATATTCTTGGATATATTTGATGAGATCACGTGATGAGGTTCCTAACTTGGTACTACAGTTCCACCAGATGGTTCTTACGAAATTTGGAGTGAGAACTAAGGCTTTTAGATCAGATAATGCCAGAGAGTACTTTGAGAAGGACCTGACCACGTATCTCTTAGAACATGGTGTAATTCATCAGAGTAGTTGTGCATATACACCACAACAAAATGGAGTTGCTGAGAGGAAAAACAGACACATTGTGGAGGTGGCAAGGAGTCTTATGGTGTGTTCTTTAGTTCCTGTGCAGTTCTTACAGCCGTGCATTTGATTAACCGTGTTCATTCACGGACTTTGGGGCTTAAGGTGCCATTTAGTCTTCTTTTTCCAAATCGGGAGATATTTCATATACCTCTGAGGGGTTTTGTTTGTGTTTCCTTTGTTCACATTCTTGGCCCTCATCGCAAGAAATTGGATCCTAAGGCCAAGAAATGTGTTTTCCTTGGGTATGCTCAGAACCAAAAGGGGTATTGCTGTTATGACCCAGTGTCGAGGAGCAGATTTGTCACTGTGGATGTTACCTTCTTCGAATCCACCTTCTTCTCGAGTGGCTCTCCTCAGGGGGAGAGTTTTAGGAGGATAACTCACAATATGTTCCTCTTCCTGTTTATTTGGTGCCTGCATCAGTTCAGCCAGCACCTGCACCTCCAGTTTCATTACCTGAGCCACTACGGGCAGCCTCACAGAAATATCAACGCCAATAGATAATGGTTGACTCCACACCACTCTCTATCAATCCTTCTGAAACTCCAGATTCGGCAGATACAGTTCCAGGTATTCCTCTTGAGCCTGAGCCTGTTATGTTTTCTAATAATAATGTTCCTATCCCTAACACCATTGTTGCAGCTGATCCCACTGACATTGATCTTCCCATTGCACTTCGTAAGGGGAAGAGAAAGTGTACAGCCCATTGCATTTCACACCATCTTTCCTACAGTGCCTTATCACCCTCCTACCGTGCTTTTCTTTCTTCCCTGAATTATGTGCCTATACCCAAGAATGTTACTGATGCTCTCTCCAAACCTGAGTGGAAAACAACCATGCAAGATGAGATTGATACTTTGGTCAAAAACCAAACTTGGGAAATAATTGATCTCCCCCCAGACAAGGAGACAGTCGGATGTAGATGGGTATTCACAGTGAAGTATAAGGTCGATGGCAAGATAGAGAGGTACAAGGCAAGGTTGGTAGCAAAAGGGTATACTCAGACCTATGGTGTTGATTATCTGGAAACCTTTGCACCAGTAGCTAAGATGAGTTCAGTTTGTATCCTTTTATCTCTAGCAGCCACCTATTCTGGCCCTTGTTCCAGCTTGATGTCAAAAACGCCTTCCTTAATGGTGATTTACAAGAGGAGGTATATATGGACATTCCAATAGGCTTTTATGAAAATGTTGGTAAAGGAAAGGTGTGCAAACTCAGAAAATCTTTGTATGGACTGAAACAATCACCTAGGGCTTGGTTTGACAGGTTTAGAGGGGAACTCGTTCGTTTTGGATACACACAGGCACAGTCTGATCACACCCTCTTTGTGAATAGGAGAGATGATCTGGTGTCAATTCTGATTGTGTATCTGGATGATATAGTGGTGACAGGAAATGATCTAGAGGAGATTGATGATCTCAAAAAATCATTGCAGCAAGAATTTGAGATCAAAGATCTTGGTGAGCTCAAATACTCCTTGGGGATTGAAGTTGAAAGATCCAAGCATGGGATCTTCATTTCACAGAGAAAGTATGTACTTGACCTATTGCGGGAGACTGGGAAGCTCGGGACCAAACCAGCAAACGCTCCTATTAATCCAAATCACAGAATTAATGGTGTGGATGGTGAGTTGGTAAAGGATGTGGGGAGATATCAAAGAATGGTGGGYCGAYTRTTGTATTTGTGTATGACACGACCAGATATTTCTTATGCTGTCAATGTTGTGAGTCAGTACATGCATGCACCTCGGGTTCAGCACTAGGAAGCTATTGAGAGAAATACTTGCATATCTGAAAAAGCACCCTGGCAAAGGCATTCTTTTCTCAAATCATGAGAATCTGAAGCTAGAATCCTATACAGATGCAAACTAGGCAGGATGCTTAGATGACAGGAGGTCTACATCAGGAGTGTGTACCTTTGTAGGTGGAAACTTGACCTCCTGGAAGAATAAGAAGCAAGCGGTTGTGGCAAGGTCAAGTGCAGAGGCTGAGTATAGATCCATGGCTCATGGTGTCTCAGAACTTCTTTGGGTTAGATCTCTTTTGAATGAGATTGGGGTGAAAGCAAAGGAACCTATGATGTTATACTGTGACAATCAGGCTGCAATCAATATTGCCCACAATCCARTTCAGCAYGATAGRAYAAAACRCRTTGAAGTTGATAGACACTTTATAAGAGAAAGGGTAACAACTGGAGAAGTTTGTTTGCCTTATGTCTCTTCAAAGTTGCAGCTGGCTGATGTTCTCACTAAAGGGGGTGGCAAAGAACAAGCTTGAACATGATCTACACAAGTATGGAATGTGTGACATTAATTCCCAACTTGAGGGGGAGTGTTGAAGATTAATCAATTTTATGATGTTTTTCTAAGTAGATGTTTTATAATAGTTGTTAGATAGGAGGTGGGGGACCACAGTAGTTATGTGAGTCCAAATTTTATTATGTTTTTGAGTGTTATATATGTTGTTTTATGTTTTGCCACCCTATAAGGGCATAGTTGTCTTTGCACTGCTCTATTGATTTTAGTATAAATAATAAGTGAAGGNATAGTTGTCTTTGCACTGCTCTATTGATTTTAGTATAAATAATAAGTGAAGGAGGCGGCCAGATTATTGCTCTTCTTTTCAACTTCTCTTCTTCTCTTCTTCTCCTTCTCTCTTCCTTCTCTCTTCAAGAAACTACTTTTCTTTCATATTTTTTAATTCAGCAGATTTCTACTTAAAGAAACCTAGTAATGGAATGAAGAGGTTCAAAATATAAATAGGTTAAAGCGAGCATGCTACAAAGAATGGCAAAAAGCTAGAAATGTAGAAAATTGAGAAAAATATAAAACCATAAGAAAGGAAGTTAAAAAGAAAGTAAATTTAGTTAAATGTAAGGCTTATGATGAGCTTTACCATAAATTAGGCACTAAAGAGGGAGAAAAAGGAATGTATAAACTAGAAAAGCTGAGAGAAAGGAAAGGCAAAGATTTAAACCATGTTAGGTGTATTAAAGATGAAAATCAAACGGCCTTGGTAAAAGATGAGGAAATCAAACAAAGATGGAAAACTATTTTGAAAAAAAATATTAAATGAACAGCAGGAAGAGGATTCTAATGGCGGAGAATCTAGCAATACTAGTAGTGTTAAATCATTCTATAATGCTTTGGCAAGGAACCAAGTGGGGAAATCTAATGCCATCAGGATTTAGGGAAATATGGTTCCCCTAGAGTGGAAGCTTTTGCGTGGTTACTGACCTTAGACAGCATTCTTACACAAGATCATTTTAAAGGAAGAGGAATTCAACTGGCAGGGAGAAGTTACCTTTGCCTAGCAAAAGGGTAGAGTGTGATGCATTTGTTTATTGATTGTTGTTTTTCCAAGTATGCTTGGGGGCATTACTTCAGCCTTTTTCAGCTTTTGTGGAAGTAAAAAGGTGAAGATAGTTTGAAGCCACATCCCCTTTCGCTGCTATCTATTGGGATATTTGGAAGGAACGAAGCAAAAGAATATTTGATGACCAATCAAAGCACTGAGACCAAATTGTTTTCTTATGTGGATAGAGGTTCAGGGATTGGCCATTGTTCCTTCCAGAATATGAGGGAATCACAAATGAAGACTTTAATTGTAATTTTTCCTCTGTTTTAGATCTTGATCTTGGGAGATAAGTCTCGTACTATGTCTTTTCTTTTTGTTTTGGGGTGATGCCTCATCACCAACTTTAAGTGCATTTTTTATTAATAAAATTTTCTTTTTATTTATTACCATAAAAAAACCATTGGCCACAATTAAAAAAACAATCTTTAGGTAGTTTCCCTTTTACAGAAGGTTTTCTTCAAATAGAGTGTAAGTTGGGTTGCATTTATTTGTTTGAGGGCTCCTAGGGTATTTTGTGCTTCTAGTTAATACTCCTTTCGTAAGGGTCAATACTTTGCTGCATAAGTATGTTTCTTTTTCTTTTCCTTTTTTATGGGGAAGCAGAGGGGTGGATGAGGTGTTGTAGTTGGCTTGGATTCATTGGGTTTCAGCTTGGAGCTTCTTTCAGTCTTCTTTTCATTTGCATTTTGTGCACTTTTCTCTTTCTCATAAATATATCTCACTTACTGACTAAAAAAGTAGTAGGATCTTCTAAAGTAGATAAAATAAAATGTAAACAGTAGCAGTTCAATAAAATTTTCAAGTGATTCACCAAAAAAAATGTAAACACTAGAGTTGTTTTAGCAACACCATCACAGAGGTTTCAAGGACCACCTTATAATCAACCGCCCAGCAGAGAAGATCATCAAGAATCAAACGTTCTACCATAAAATGTTCACTAGCAGTATTATTTATGCATGTGCTGTTCTCAATACATCCATCAGAATTCCTTCTTAAATAGTAACCTGGAACAACCTACAAACAAAATCAGAGTCATAAGAATAGAAACTAAACTAATAAAAAAGACACAAATAAGATAGTAAAGCAGTAAAATAGGCACTACAGGTTGCCAACTTGCCACGCTTTGGGGATTAACAGGGAAACTATAGATGGATATGAACATAGAAATCAAATCATGACCTTGTCAAGTACAGAGTAATCATCAAGTGGGCCACTTCCATGCAAATGATTATAGACGACATCCAATATAACACGAAGACCAATTCGGTTAAGTGCCTGAAATTGAGATAATCAATAAAGCTATGAACAAGTAAGCACAAACCAACCAGAACTCAAGTGTATGCAAATAAATGATATATCTATGATTTATATATGGATAATATCAGATGTAGAAGTACCTGTACCATCTTCCGAAACTCAACTGTACGACATGAACCATTTGGATTGCTTGCATAGCTTCCTTTGGGGACTCCCCAAAGAACAGGATTGTATCTTTGTAAAAAAATGATGCAGGTTAATAAGAATGGGCATAAGCACCAAACTACAATTAATCAATTCACTCAATAGAATCCAGATTCATAAAATCTTACCCCCAATTATATCCATCATCGTCTTGAATTTCTGTAACTCGAGCTTGTTGCTGATCCGAATCTGGTGGTAATGTGGCCAGCATATCGGTGTCTGTAGAAGTTGTCATGTTAAATAGAGAGAAAATGCCAACCATGCATGACAATTCCAGATGATCTTAAACCATTGCAGATAAAACCCATAAAAGCAAGCATGAGTTAATATTATTCCCATCACAATTAAAGGAAATCTAGTTAAATATCCAACAATAATATAAAGATAAGATTATATAACTCCTGATTAGGTAGCAGAAATAGGGATGATGAGAAGTATTAGGGTGGAGTTGGACGTTTTTGATGTACAAGAGGTTTAGTTTGATGTACAACAGTTTTAAGGGAAATTTAAGGTGGAGATGAATGAAATAATTCATCTTGGTTTCCTAATGACTTTTCTGTTAGGGATCTTTTATTGTTGTGCTCAAGATTTAGTGAAGTTTAGTTTGTAGAGTCTTCATATGTAGTCTGGATGGTCTTGGAAGTGGTGCAATGTTTGGATGAGGGTTGTTGCTTATTTTCTTTTTGTCAGTGATTTCTTAGCACCTATACCTGCTTCTTGTTATTTTTAGTAAATTCTCACTTTTTAATCAAAATCTAAAGCTAACATATCATCTGCAACAAGGTTCAAGTCTAAATGTATACTTCCAGTGCTACATCTAGAAATTTTTTTGATAAGTAATAATAAGCATTTTATCAAGATTAATCAAGATGAACTATCAATACAGCATAAAGTTTCCCACGAAGAGGCACAAGATGCAACCTGGAAGCACTTGCATCTTCTCATCAGTCATCACCCCCCCCCCAAAGGACCAAGCTACAGTATCCGGCTCCATCAGCCACCCAATACCAGTTTAGAATCACCTTCAATGAGCAATCTCCCATAGTTCAGCACTCTAGCAATCTGTACTCCCTGTAGAACTACTTGGACTTCTGCACTAACTGCATCACCCACTCCAATTGGACCAGAGAATAAGGCAACAATCTGAGTATCTGACCCTCTGCATTTCTGAAATCTCCTCCAAGACTAAAAGACCCAGGATTACTGAGGCTGCTACCATCAAGGGTTAGCTTGATTTAGCCTTTTTCAGGGGGCTTCCAAGCTACAATAGGTTTGTTCTTAACCAAAGAAGATTTTGCAACCAATTCCCAGATTCTCCAAATGTCAACAAAAGAGAATTGTGAGAAAAGATGCAATGCTTTAGCCCAATTGATAGCCCTGTTCAATATGCAATCCCAAACAGTAGCCTCATCCCTCTCTTTATATCCTAGACTTCCCCATTGACTACATAACTATTAAGGTTATACCATTGGTTTTTTTTTATCAACAAGGAAAGTTAACTTTATTAATAAGACGAGAAAAAAAAAACAGGATTACAATATATCACAATCAAGCCCAAAAAACAGGCTACAATAAGGCCCAAAACAATTGCTGCCTATAGACCCTCTACTTGGCTAATGTGTCATCCATCCCATTTGCAAACCTTCTGATTCAAGAAAAAGTGACATTGAGTTCCCTAGTCAGGCTTTTACTTCCCTCAGGGTATGTCTATAAATCCAAGGAACATTATTCCTTGTGGTAGTCCAAGAGATAACCAGTTTAGAGTCCCCTTCGACCTCTAAGTTTTGTAGATTTGCTTGCTTAGCAAGTTTTAGACCTTGTAGCAACACTAACAGCTCAGCCTTTAGCAAATCTCCTACCCCTAAAGGGCTTGAATACATTGCCAACACTTTACTTGAGGAATCTCTAAACACACCACCAGTACCTACTAGTCCTGAGATTCATAAAGAGAACGCATCAAAGTTCAGCTTGATTTTATTGCTAGCTAGGGGGTTCCATTCCATCACATTTTTTTCTTTTACATTAGAAGAGTGTGCCACTTCATTCCATGCTCTTATCATGTCAGACGCTGAACAACTTTGGAATAGCTCTAATGTTTTTATCCATTCTGCAACTTTTATCTTTATAGTTTCCATAATTTCTTCCTTTGGCTTGTGCTTCTTATTGAAGACCCATGTGTTTCTTTCCTCCCAAACAGTCCACACCACCGCAACCCTAATTGTTTTCCACATCACTCTTCCTCTTTTCGTTGGCTGCCTTAGGAAATTTGGGCTGAAGAGACTCACTACATTCTGAGGAGTGATCCACCTGCACCCAGAGAGAGAGCAAAAAGACTCCAAACAAATAGCACAACAGGACAATAAAGCAGTAAATGGGGTAGGGATTCACATTCACCATTTTCAAAACAAATGTTAGTGTCGAGTATATAGGGGCAGATTAGTCATTTTGTTTATGTTTAGTATGAGGTGTAATGTTAAGTGATGCGTCCCATACTTAAGTAGGGGCACAAGAGTCAATTTGTTTTTTGATATAGAAAACTATAAATATGACCTGGCCGACCAGAGAGAGTAGATTTTTCTCTCTAGTTCGAACCAGCCTTTCTTTCTTCTCTTCACTCTTCTCCTCTCTTCCTCTCTCTCTTCTTTATCTTTTCTTCTCTATTATTCTGAAATTAACAGATATACAGATCTGAACGTTATCATGGTATCAGAGCGAGGTTAGATCAGTTCAGATCTGTATAGTCTCCTGTGCACCCTAGTTGAGTATTTTGTAGATGTCTCTTAGGTTTCTTGGAGTTTGACAAAAAGGCTGAAAAGGAGTGGTCGTTTTTTTCTTCTGGAGGTTTTAATGCCTCCAATTGATTGTGGTGTGGTGGCTTCAGGTGGCTGGTAGGAAACCCTCCGATGGACCGAAAAGGGTTGCTACAGTAGTTCCGTGGTCTATGTTCAGATGTGTGGTTCAGATAGGTGGTCAAAGATCTAGTACCAGATGTGTGGAGTGTTGGTGTGATGTCTTTGTGTGTGATGGTTTTTGTGTGGTGCCAAAAGTGGAGAATAGTGGTGATTACCATTGCTGAAACCTGTGATAGTGAATGTTTCAGCAATGGTCAGACGTAAGAGTGAAACAGTGGTGATCGTTCAGCTATAGGAGTGCAGTGTGGTGATTATTGGTGAGGTAGAGTAACATATTAGTGTGAGGAAGGAAAAAAAAAATTGGCATCTATGGGAGACAGTAGTGAACACAAGTCTATTATGATTCCCCCTGATTACTTGAATGTGCAAATGACCTCCATCAAATTGAATGGAGAGAATTACGTGCCTTGGGCCAAATCTGTTGAAGTGTTTCTCAAAGCTAAGAAGAAAGTAAAGCATGTGAGAGAAGACAAACCCCTAGTTGACTCTCAGGAGTACAATGATTGGGAACAAGAAGATGCACAGATTATGACTTTTATGGAATAGCATGGAACCTAAGATTAGTGTGAACTTCATGTTCTTAGACACAGCCTAGGAGATTTGGGATCATGCAAAGAAATGTTACTCAGGGCAGGACAATACCACTAGAGTATACCAGCTCTACCAAGAGTATTTTAATTTGCAGCAGGATAATCAAAATCTTGAGTACTATGCTAGTCTGAGGAATCTAAGGAATGAGTTGAATGCGTATCATCCCCTTACATCTGATGTCAAAATTCAGCAACAACAGAGAGAGCAGTTTGATGTAACCAGATTTTTTGTGGGATTGAAGTTTGAATACGAACCAGCGGGAGCACAAATACTAGGTGGGTCTACCCTCCCTTCCCTTGTAGAGGTGTTTGCCCGTATCCGGAGGACTTCCATTGGACATCCGGAGAACCCCACCATATCAGATAGGTCTGCTTTTGCACTGACAAGAAGGGGAGGTTGTGGTGGTAGAGGAGTAACTCATTAGGGTCAGCCAGGCTGTGGTGGTAGTGGTGGACACATGTACAGTCATGGTGGAGGTGGACACATGTACAGTCGTGGTGGTGGGCGTGTTGGAAGTCAAGATTCAGGGGAGCTCGTGGTAAAGGACATAGTAATGGTCCGAGAAGGTGTTCACATTGTGGTATGGATGAACATATTGTTAATTTTTGCTATGATCTACATGGCCCACCTTCAACCTAGGCAAATCATGCAGTGCCTAGTGGTGGTATGGGAGAAGAGAGTCAACAGGCCGGTCAGACACCTCCATCTACAGATGCCTCCAGACAAGAGATGATGAGTACTTCACGTAATGAATATGAGCGATTGATCCATGCTACTTCTCAGCCGAGTACAGTTACACTTGCCCACTCAAGTATGGCTTGTCTGGCATCCAAACCCTCCCATTGGATCATTGATTCTAGAGGTTCCGATCATATGATTGGGACTCCAGGTGTGTTCTCTTCTCTTTCTTCATCCTCTACAACCCACACTGTCACCCTTGCTAATGGTTTCTTCTTCTTCTCTTCTGCTTCCAGTCCCTGTTGCAAACCCCATTTCACTTGTTCCAGTTGCAACTAAGCCTTTGCCTCCGATGCCACTCCCCGCTGCACAGCCACCTATCCAGCAAGTGTATACGCATCAACATGCACCGGCACCTCCAACTACTTCATCGTCAACGGATCCGGCAGTGGTTTCCGCAATACCATCACACCCCGTTTCTGACCTTGACCTTCCCATTGCCCTGCGGAAAGGTAAGCGTAGTTGTACTCTTCATCCTATCTCTAATTATGTTTCTGTTTCTCACCTTTCTCCTTCCCATCGATAGTTTGTTTCGTTGTTATCTTTTGTTTCTATTCTTAAGGATGTCCAGGAAGCCCTTATCTCTCCAGGGTGGCGTCAAGCGATGGAAGAACTCTCCGCTCTAGCTCATAATCATATGTGGGATCTCACCACTCTTCCTCCAGGTAAGCATGTTGTCGAATGTAAGTGGGTATACACTATCAAGTATTTACCTGATGGTAGTGTTCAGCGGTTGAAAGCTCGGTTGGTTGCCAAGGGTGATTCACAGTTATATGGCATTGACTACACAGAGACTTTCTCTCCTATTGCCAAGATTAGTTCAGTTCGTGTTTTGATCTCTCTAGCTGCTATGTATGATTGGCCTTTGTTTCGGCTTGATATTAAGAATGCTTTTTTGCTTGGTTATCTTCTTGAGGTGTACATGGAGCAACCACCCGGGTTTGTTGCTCAAGGGGAGAATGGTAAAGTGTGTAAGCTCAAGAAAGCTATTTATGGACTTAAACAGTCCCCTCGTGCATGGTTTGGAAGATTCAGTGAAATAGTGAAGAAATTTGGCATGAAACAGTGTCAAGTCGATCATTTAGTATTCAGCTATGAGTCTGGTGCTAGGAAGATTTTGTTGGTGGTGTACATAGATGATATTGTTATTACCAGCAGTGACAAGTTCGAGATTGATAGGTTGAAAACTTTTTTGCATGACACTTCCAAACAAAGGACCTTGGTAAACTAAGATATTTCTTAGGGATAGAGGTAGCGAGGTCCAAGTATGGTATCAACTTGTGCCGGAGGAAATATGTCCTTGACCTACTAGAGGAGACAAGGTTGTTGGGTGCCAAACAAAATGAAACACCCATGAAATTGAATGTCAAGTTGAATAGTGATACAAGTGAGGAGTTTGAAGATCTAGGAAGGTACAAAAGGTTGGTGGGTAAGCTAAACAACCTAACATTATTCGGACAAATATTTCATTTGTGGTTAGTGTGGTGAGTCAATTTATGCAGAACCCCTGGGTTCCACATTGGGATGCAGTTCTAAGGATTGTAAAGTATTTGAAGGAGCTCCTGGTCGTGGCTTGCTATACAAGAGTGGAGGAAAACTTGAAACAGAAGGATACACTGATGCTGATTGGGCTGGTTCTGTATCTGACAGAAGGTCCACTACAAGTTATTGTACCTTTCTTGGGGGTAACTTGGTGACATGGAAGAGTAAGAAACAGATAGTGGTGGTAAGAAGCAGTGCAGAAGCTAAATACAGAGCTATGGCACATACAACTTGTGAATTAGTGTGGTTGAGAAACCTTCTACAGGATATGGGGTACTCAATTGACACTCCAATGAAGCTTTATTGTGACAACCAAGCTGCAGTCCACATCTCCTCTAATCCAATTTTTTCATGAGAGAACAAAACACATAGAAGTTGATTGTCACTTTGCGAGAGAGAAGGTTCTTAGTGGAGTAATAAGTACAACATATGTTAACACAGGAAGCCAATGGGCAGATCTGTTCACCAAAGGGTTGAGTCAGGCGAGAGTGGACTACATATGCAACAAGTTGGGATTATATGATATATACTCACCAGCTTGAGGGGGAGTGTTAGTGCAAAGTATATAGGGGCAGATTAGTCTTTTTGTTTATGTTTAGTATGAGGTGTAATGTTAAGTGATGTGTCCCATACTTAAGTAGGGGAACAAGAGTCAATTTGTTTTTTGATATAGAAAACTATAAATATGACCTGGCCGACTAGAGAGTAGATTTTTCTCTCTAGTTCGAACCAGCCTTTCTTTCTTCTCTCCTTCTCTTCACTCTCTCCTCTCTTCCTCTTTCTTCTTTATCTTTTCTTCTCTATTATTCTGAAATTAACAGATATACAGATCTGAACTTTATCAACAAAGAAAACACACATTAGGGGAGAGGCATTTGTTTGGCCTCCTTTTCTGAAGCATGTCACAAGTGTTCACCTTATCAAGGAAAACCTCCCAACACAGTGCTTGAACTTTGGGTGGAATGACTTACTCCATATCTCTTTTACCGAGAAGCTTTCCCCCCCCCCCCCCGTAGGAGGTTGCACAAGAGTGTTGAAGAAAGAAGCACAAGTGACTATACCATCAAAAGTGGTAGACCAAACTCCGGTATCCTCCACATATTGAACCAAAAAAGTTGATTGAAGTTTGTCTACCAGTTGAATAAGGGCCTCACACTCATTATACCTCAACCCCCTCTTAAACCCAAAATCCTAGCTTAAACCTAATGAAGAAAAGGTAACAAAATATGGCATAGGATCATACATTGGTTGACATCGATCGAGCTATTTAAAGACTACTCGATTGAGGACATCTCTAGAGGATGATCTATAGTGGAAAATTCTACAAGTACAAAGAATGTGATCTAGGAACAATGGATCCCTTTAGTGCAATAGAGGGTTTAGTTGAATTTTGATCAAAGCTCCTTAGGTAACCCGGGTCCCTCTAGAATTGGGGGAGTGTTCAGAGATGGGGAGGATAGACTGATAACTGATTGCACTATATTCTGGACCAGTAGGCGTGGGTGATTCACTAAGAGCTGAGATTTTGGCACTACTCCAAGGCTTGAGACTGGCTAAGCAATGGGGACTTCACAATCTTGAGATTGAAGGAGACTCTAGAATACTAGTAGGCTGGCTGCAAATAAAGAGTTTGGGAGTTTGGACATTCAAACAACAAATGAGGGAAATTTCTTGCTTAGCAAGGGAAGCTGAGGCAACCTTCAAATGGACCAGGAGGTCAGTTAATGGTTTAGCTGACACCTTGGCAAAGCAAGGAACCCTTAGAAACAATTTATTTTGGGCTATGTTGTAATCTTTGAGAAAACTAGGGGTCAACACTTGTTGAGGGTGGTTGACAGTTGTACGCCTTAAACTTTTGTATTAATGAAAGTTACCATTTCCAGTATATATATATATATATATATATTTCCTCATTACTTGAGTGGAAGCTTTTTCTGAAATCTTCTATGCCATGTCAGCCAAGGTGGCCAGCTATCAGGCACTAGTTTATTCTTACACTGCTCCTATAATTTGTTCTGAATTACTGCTTGGTAACCGGGGTTAGTCATTGGACCCAGCTGACTCAGTTTCAATCAGGATGAATTAAACCAGGTCTGTGTTGGTTCACATGCCTATGCCCTTACACCTGAAGAAGTATTTAGGAACAAAGGCTGGGTTGAAACTTGAAACAGAACTCCTACCTACGTGCTTCCACTTCTTCTCATCATCAACACCAGCAAATTGGAAGGTTGGCAGCAGATGCACATGTGTGAGACCCGCATAAGCTAACTTCTTTAGATGGAGCACACCAGCAGAATCCTGCAAGCAGAATGTGCATTGCCAAGAAATAAATCTGTCAACAAAATAACTACCTAAAATGAAGGTTTCTAGTTGCAAACTTGCAACTAGAATATGTTTGTGTGTGTGTGTGTATTTCAGATGAGTATTGGCAACTCTTACTTAAGAAATGCACCATACATAATTTGATTACACATAATATACACTACAAGAGGCATAGAATAATTAAGCATAAGCATATAAAAAAGACTTACCACTATTTTAGTCATCTAATTTAAGACAACAATGCATCGGAATATAAATAATACCTATCTAAGTATAAACAAATGATGATGTGTAAAAGAAAATTATTATCTAGTAGAATACATAGATTTTTAGAGTTGCAAATGATGAAGGATGATTTGACCCGACCTATGAAACGGCGACACCTGGACACTGACTCAATGTAAGCGACAACTCAACATTGTGTTCCGGTACGGCTAAGTGATAGGCTCATAAAGCAGCCCGCTACGCGGTGGCAAGGTAAAGGAGAGGCTCGCTACAACGCGAGCTCCAGGTTCCCCGAGCTACCAATAAGGGAATACTCCAAGAATATTTCAGCTCGCGAGCTAGGGAAACCAGCTCGCTCTAGCACCTGGGCAGAAGACTGCCCCAAAGACCAACCTTGATGAGGGTCACCTCGAAGTACCCCAAAGAGCTTGCTACAAAGTAGCTCGCNAACCGAGCTAAACAGCTCGGGAAAGGTTTGATCATCATAGGGCACAACCGCCCAACCAAAAAAACTGGTGAAAGACCGGGTTTACGGCACCCGGAAGCCACAAAAGCCCAGAGAAACGCCACCTCAAGGATCCGCCTCCTCATCCTCCGGAGAGTCAGGCTCCTCTTCATCCGCTTGGTCTTCTGTCTCGGGGGACAGGCCCTTCATAGTAATGCCGTCGAGGTTAAGCCCGGAGAACTTCTTCCAAACCAGCCACTGGCACAGCTTAAACCCTTAGCGGTACGAACCCGAGCCATACTCCGCCTAGAGGTCATGAAATTCCTGGGAGTCCTTAAAATCCCAGACTGCTCTCTCTCGCTCAGCCTCCACCATCTGGTCAAAGTTTCGGGTCCGGTTTAGAAGAGTGGACTCCAGGTCCCACACCTGTTGCCTGAGGAGCTCCCTCTCCCCCACCATCCTCGACGATTCCTCCCTATAGCGTGCGCTCTCTTCAGTAAGCCGAGCGATTTGAGCCT